AGTTTTTTTTTTTTTTGAGATGGAGTTTCACTCTTGTTACCCAGGCTGGAGTGCAATGGCGGGATCTTGGCTCACCGCAACCTCTGCCTCCCGGGTTCAGGCAGTTCTTCTGCCTCAGCCTCCTGAGTAGCTGGGATTACAGGCACGCGCCACCATGCCCAGCTAATTTTTTGCGTTTTTAGTAGAGACAGGGCTTCACCATGTTGACCAGGATGGTCTCGATCTCTTGACCTCGTGATCCACCCACCTCAGCCTCCCAAAATGCTGGGATTACAGGTGTGAGCCACCGCGCCCGGCCCAATCAAGTTTTTTTTTTTAATTGTTTTGGTCACTGAAATCTAAAAGTTTGGAAACCATTGCTTCAGAAGTACTACTGTTTTCTCATGGGTATAACATGGAGTATTAGGACTAAGGAAGGACCACCAGCAATAGCTGAACAGGTCAAAGGGAATTGTTACCCATCCCAGGAACACTCTGGTTTTCCACAGAACTACAGCCAGATGCTGTTGTCAGGGTATATGTACCAGAATTTAATTGCTTAATGTATATGCCTTCCTTAAATTACCAAATGTAATTTCTTATTTATTCAAAAGTAAAAACATTCATTTATGGTCTCACCAGGAATGAGTTTTGTTGTAGATAGAATAGCTAACCGCTATTTTTAGAGAATCAGCAAAAATCCAATCTACCCATATCTATTTTACTGTTCCTAAAATTCACATTTTTAGAATCTTTTTTTGTGTGTATGCAGTATTTTTCTAGAATCCCCTTTTCAAAGTTTAGTTATCGGGCCAGGCATGGTGGCTCACACCTGTAATCCTAGCACTTTGGGAGGCCAAGGTGGGCAGATTGCTTGAGGCCCAGAGTAGGAGACCAGCCTGGGAAACATGGCGAAAACCTGTCTCTACTAAAAATGCAAAAAATTATCTGGGCATGGTGGTGCATGCTTGTAATCCCAGCTACTCGGGAGGCTGAGGCAGGAGAATCACTTGGACCTGGGATGTGGAGGTTGCAGTGAGCCAAAATTGCACCACTGTCCTCCCACCTAAGCAACAGAGTGAGACTCTGTCTCAAAAAAACAAAACAAAAAACATTTACTTATGATGAGTGACATTAAAACATTACAAAATTAGGCCAGGCACAGTGGCTTATGCCTATAATTTCAGCATTTAGGGAGACTGAGGTGGGAAGATCACTTGAGGCCAGGAGTTCAAGACCAACCTGAGCAATGTAGCAAGACCCCATCTCTATAAAAAATTTAAAAATTAGCCAGGCACAATGGCTCACGCCTATAATCCCAGCACTTTGCGGGGCCGAGGTGGTGGATCACCTGCGACTGGGAGTTTGAGACCAGCCTGACCAACATGGCAAAAAATTAGCCAGGCATGGTGGTGCATGCATGTAATCCCAGCTGCTCAAGAAACTGAGGCAAGAGAATCACTTGAACCTGGGAGGCGGAGGTTGCGGTGAGCCAAGATTGTGCAATTTAACTCCAGCCTGGGCAACAATAGTGAAACTCCGTCTCAAAAACAAATTTTTTTTTAATTAGCTGAGTATAGTGACATGTGCCTGTAATTCTAGCTACTCGGGAGATTGGGGTAAGAGGATTGCATAAGCACAGGAGTTCAAGGCTCCCAGTGAGTTATGATTACACCACTGCACTCCAGGGTAACAGAGTGACATCCCATCTCTAAAAAAATAAAGGCTGGGCACAGTAACTTACACCTCTAGTACCAGCACTTTGGGAGGCTGAGGCAGGTAGACTACTTGAGCCCAGGAGTTTGAGACCAGCCTAGGCAACCTGGAGAAACCCGTCTCTACAAAAAATACCCCCAAAAAATTAGCCAAGCATGTTGGAACATGCCTGTGGTCCCCGCTACTTGGGAGGCTAAGGTGGGAGGATCACCTGAGCCCAGGGAAGTCAAAACTGCAGTGAGCCGTAGCTGCACGACTGCACTCTAGCAACACAGTGAGACTCTGTCTGAAATAAATAAGTTTAGCTTACTTTAAAAATAAAAATAAATTGGCTGGGCATGGTGGCTTATGCCTGTAATCCCAGCAATTAGGGAGGCCAAGGCAGGTGGATCACCTGAGGTCAGGCTTTCAAGATCAGCCTGGCCAACATGGTGAAACCTTGTCTCTACTAAAAATACAAATATTAGCCAGGCACGGTGGCACTCACCTGTAGTCCCAGCTACTTGGGAGGCTGAAGAATCTCTTGAACCTGGGAGGTGGAGGTTGCAGTGAGCTGACATCGCACCACTGCACTCCAGCCTGTGTGACAGAGCAAGACTCCATCTCAAAAAATAAATAAATAAGTAAATAAAAACTAACTAAATAATAAATTTAAAAAGAAAAGGGGCCAGGTGTGGTGTCTCACATACTCCTAGCACTTTGGGAAGCTGAGGTGGAAGTATCACTAGAGCCCAGGAGCTCCTGGACAGCATAGCGAGACCTTATCTCTACTAAAAATTAAAAAAAATATTAGGTAGGCATGGTGGCATGGACCTGTTGTCCTACCTACTTGGGAGGCTGAGGCAGGAGGATCACTTGAACCCAGGAGATCAAGGCTGCAGTGAGCTGTTGTTCATACCGCTGCACTTCAGCCTGGCAGCAGAGGGAGCCCTTGTCGCAAAAGAAAAAAAAGAAGTTATAAAATTAGCTAGCCTTTTACTTTGATTGTGTCCAATATAGTGGGATTTAGGACAAATACAGTTTTATTTCAGGGAAGTTTTTGAGACCATTTGAGAACACTGAGTGGGATGAAAATAAAGGGTTTGGGTAGAAGGTTAGAGATTGGTGATCAAAAGAACTACTATAATTATTTTGGAAGTTTTGTTTCTATGTGAACTGATGATCTACTTCTTACAGGTCATATGGAGCCCTCCAAAGGGACTTTGCTGAGTCATTGGGGGCTTTGGTGAAACCATAGGAATATATACTGTCATGTACAGGGTGAGGGATTCTCATCTGATAAACATATTGAGGGTCCACTAGATGCCAGGTACTGTGCACATCTCTGTGGATATGTTGATGGAAGCAAGGTTGCCCTGCCATCAAGGAGCCCATCATTTAGTGGAGAGTAGACACAGTGAGGTGAGGTGCAAAGGGAACATAAGAGGTGTGCATACTAATAAATATTAGAGACAGTAGGATGCAGTCAAATAGTCAGAGACCTGGATGCTAGCTGAGTCCATGCCAGTTTGTAGTATCATCTTGGCCAAAGTCACCTAACTTCTGTGGCCTCACTTTTTCCTTCTGGAAAATGGTAAAGATGCTATCTTGTTTCCCCTGTCACCCCAGGTGGTATAGAGTATGACTTCAAGGACAGAAAACACTTTGATTTCTTCAAACGCCTTTGCAATTGCTATAAAAATTCAAGATGTCAGAATTGAGAGTTGTAACACAGAGCTGAGATATCTAGATATTGCTATTTATCAGGATATGGTAGCAATACCCACTATTATTTATTTTTTATGCTATCTGAATGTTTAAATTTTTTAATGGAGTACTGTTATATAAATAACTCTTTTTTTTTTTTTTTTTTTTGTCAGAGTCTTTCGCTGTCCAGGCTGGAGTGCAGTGGCATGATCTTGGCTCATTGCAACCTCTGCCTTCAAGGTTCAAGAGATTCTCGTGCCTCAGCCTCTCCTGAGTAGCTGGGATTACGGGCACCTGCCACCACATCTGGCTAATTTTGGGGGTTTTTTTGTTGTTGTTGTTTTTTATTTTCATTTTAGTAGAGACGGGGTTTCACCATGTTGGCCAGATTGGTTTTGAACTCCTTACCTCAAGTAATAGGCCCATCTCAGCCTCCCAAAGTGTTGGGATTAAAGGCCTGAGCCACTGTGCCTGGCCACAAAATAACTTTTTATCAGATCTTTTTGTCTCTATTCATATTAACTACACCAAGATCAAGTTATAAAAAGTTGTCAGTGGGGAATGGTGGCTCACGCCTGCAATCCCAGCACTTTGGGAGGCCAGGGTAGGTGGATCATTTGAGGCCAGGAGTTCAAGACCAGCCTGGCCAACATGATGAAACCCCATCTCTATGAAAAATACAAAAATTAGCCAGGCTGTAGTGGCGTGCACCTATAATCTCAGCTACTTGAGAGGCTGAGACAGGAGAATCGCTTGAGCCTAGGAGGTGGAGGTTGTAGGGAGGCAAGATTGCACCACTGCACTGCAGTCTGGATGAGAGTGAGACCCTGTCTCAAAAAAAAAAAAATTGTCATATCTGTTGCCATAGCAATGAAGCTAGCTACTCATCAGTCTTCCTACACCTCTATACGTTTATTTGAATAAATATAAATTTTGTTTTACTGTAAAAATATATAGGGAATGGCAAAACTATGAAATTATATAACTTACTAGAAAGACTAAAACTGAACTCAACATTAATTCTAGGCCCTGGGCTGATCCCTCAAAGCACTGGAAAGTCACGTGAAATTGATGTGTTGCTCTCTCTTTTCCAGCTGAACTGTCCCAAGCAATAAACAGTGGTACGTTGTTATCAAAACCGTCCCCACCATTACCACCCAAGAGAGGCATTCCATCCACCTCAGCACCCACCTTGGAGTCTGCTGCAGCCATCACCACCAAAACACCAAGTGATCAAAGAGAGAAAAGCATGTGTTCTGTGGGCTCTGAACTGCTGCCAGTGATCCCACCCTGCTCTCCGTCCCCACCATTGCCTACTCATATACCTCCAGAGCCTCCATGCTCCCCTCCATTCCCTGCTGCGACTTTTCAAGTTGTACCAGAAACTGAGTTTCCACCATCTTTAGATCTACCCCAGGAGATTCTCCAGCAGGAAGATCAGAGAAAGGAAGTCCCCAAGAGGATATTGGACCAGAACTTTGGGGAGCCCCATATACCCTCCAGGCTGCCTCCACTCCCACTGCATATTCGAATCCAGCAGGCCCTCACTAGCCCACTTCCCATGACTCCTCCTCTGGAGGGCTCTCACAGAGCTCATTCGTTGCTCTTTGAAAACAGTGACAGCTTTTCTGAGGACAGCAGTACACTGGGTCGGACCAGGTCTCTTCCCATCACTATTGAAATGCTGAAAGTGTAAGTGCCTCTAAAGCTTGCCTCTTGTTTCTCCTTTACTCTAGATAGCCCTGCTTAGAAAAAATTACTTATAAAAAGAAAATATGGGCCACACATGGTGACCCACACCTGTAATCCCAGCACTTTGGGAGGCCAAGATGAATGGATCACCTGAGGTCAGGAGTTCAAGAACAGCCTGGCCAATGCAGTGAAACCCCGTCTCTATAAAAATATAAAAATTAACCAGGTGTTGCTCATGCCTGTAATCCCAACACTTTGGGAGGCTGAGGTGGGTGGATCACCTGACGCTGAGAGTATGAGACCAGCCTGACCAACATGGAGAAACCCCATCTACGCCTGTAATCCCAACACTTTGGGAGGCTGAGGTGGGTGGATCACCTGAGGTCAGGAGTATGAGACCAGCCTGCCCAACATGGAGAAACCCCATCTCTACTAAAAATATAAAATTAGCAGGGCATGGTGGCACATGCCTGTAATCCCAGCTACTCGGGAGGCTGAGGCAGGAGAATCGCTTGAATCCAGGAGGTAGAGGTTGCAATGAGCCAAGATCGCACCATTGCACTCCAGACCGGGCAACAAGAGCAAAACTCCATCTCCATGAATAAATAAACAAACAAAAAATTAGCTGGCAGTGGCGACGCATACCTGTATTCCAGCTACTTGGGAGGCTGAGGCAGGAGAATTGCTTTAACCTGGGAGGCAGAGGTTGCCATGAGCCAAGATTGTGCCACTGTACTCCAGCCTGGGCAACAGAGTGAGACTCCATCTCAACAAAAAGAAAATGTGGATAAATTTTATTTTTTTTGAGATAGAGTCTCCCTCTATTGCCCAGTCTGGACTGCAGTGGCATGATCTCGGCTCACTGCAACCTCTGCCGCCAAGGTTCAAGTGATTCCCTTGCCTCAGCCTTCCAAGTAGCTGGGATTATAGGTAAGTACCACCATACCTGGCTGATTTTTATACTTTTAGTGGAGATGGGGTTTCACCATGTTGGGCAGGCTGGTCTCATACTCTGGACCTCAGGTGATTCACCCACCTCAGCCTCCCAAAGTGTTGGGATTACAGGCATGAGCCACCGTGCCTGGCAATGTGAATAAATTTAAAGTACAAAGAATACTCTGCCAAAAGAATTTGGACTTTTTTTTTAATCTTATTTTAAAACTTTATTTTATTTTTGATATGGTGTCCCACACCATCACCCTGGCTGGAGTGCAATGGTGCGATCTCAGTTCATTGCAGCCTCCACCTCCCGGGTTCAAGTGATTCTCCTGCCTCAGCCTCCTAAGTAGCTGGGACTACAGACGTCTGCCACCACACCTAGCTAATTTTTTGTATTTTTAGGAAAGACCGGGTTTCACTGTGTTGGCCAGGATAGTCTCAAACTCCTGACCTCCTGATCTGCCTGCCTCGGCCTCCGAAAGTCTGGGATTAACAGGTGTGAGCCACCGCACCCAGCTTATTTATTTATTTTTTTGAGACAGATTCTCACTCTCACCCAGGCTAGAATGCAGTGGTGCAGTGTTAACTCACTGCAACCTCCACCTCCTGGGCTCAAGCAATTCTCCCACCTTAGCTTCCTGAGTAACTGTGACTACAGGTGCATGCTATCACACTCTGCTAATTTTTGTATTTTTTGTTAGATACAGGGTTTCACCATGTTTCCCAGGCTGGTCCTGAACTCCTGGGCTCAAGCATTCGGGATCATGGGTGTGAGCCACTGAGCCTGGCCAAATTTGGACTTTTTACTCTTGTGACTTCATTTTTTTTAATGGAGATTTTTGTAATGATGCAACATTTACAAAATTATTTACGTGAAACATTACAACTACTAGTTTTATACACTACAGGGAAAGCATTGTATAACGTGGTGCTTAAGAGCATTCACCTTGGAGTGAGATAGCCCTAGGTTCAAATTCCAGCACTACCACTCTTAGCTTATAGTAGTGTTAAGTTACTTAATCTTTCTGCTCTTAGTTATGTCATCTCTATATGGGAATAATATCTACTCTGTAGGCTTGTGAGAATGACATTAGACAAATTCTGGAAAGCGCCAGTGCCTAATAAGTTGTAAAGCTGGAATTGGAACCCTTAGATTAATAACCTGCTAAAAAGTTTCTTAGCAAGATTGTTAAAGGTAAGGGAGAGAATTATAAGTTACTTCATTCCTGGATTTTTTTTATAGTTATTTCAGTCCTATGTCTTTGTGTTATTGTTGAGATGGAGTCTCGCTCTTGTCACCCAGGCTGGAGTGCAGTGGTGCAATCTCGACTCACCTCTGCCTCCTGGGTTCAAGCAATTCTCCTGCCTCAGCCTCCCAAGTAGCTGGGATTACAGGCGCTCACCACCACACCTGGCTAATTTTTATATTTTTAGTAGAGACAGGCTTTTACCATGTTAGTCAGGCTGCTCTCAAACTCCTGACCTAAGGTGAATCCACCTACCTCGGCCTCCCAGAGTGCTGGGATTACAGGCATGAGCCACCACTCCCAGCCTTTATTTCAGTCTTTTGTCCTAAGAGTAAGTTATCCTCTTTGTTTCTAAAAATATATATATATAATTATGTTAATTTGTTAGTCCAGACGATGAAGAGGAGGAGCAAATCTGTCCAACCACATTCAGTGAAGACATGACATCTACCTCAGTCATTCCTAAACTACCACGGTGTCTACAGGAGGAAGAAGAGAAAGAGAGTGACTCTGATTCAGAAGGTCCCATTCAGTACCGAGATGAAGAGGATGAAGATGAAAGTCATCAGAGTAAGAGAGGGAAAAGCAAAAGGGAGAATTAGTTTCCAGATAAAGCTATTTGCTGATCTTAGCAAGTGTCAAAAGAAATATGGAAACAGGTACCTTCTCCCATTAAGTCATCTGGCTAACTGATATTGGAAGCCACTGTGAAGGACTCCTTATCTCTACTACCATCCCTCTGTTAAAACAAGCCAAGACAGAGATCCAAGTAGATTGAGTCACTCAGGCTTTAGGTTTTTGTGGTTTTTGTTTTATTTTTATTTATTTATTTTTTTTTTTTAACAGGGTTTTGCTCTGTCACCCAGCTGGAGTACAGTGGTGCAATCATAGCTCACTGCAGCCTCGAACTCCTGGGCTCAGGTGATCCTTCCACCTCAGCCTCCCAAGTAGCTAGGACTACAGATGTGTGCCACATCTGGTTAGGTTTCTTTGATTTTTTGTTTTGTAGAGACAGGATCTCACTATGTTGCCCAGGCTATTCTTGAACTTCTGACCTTATGTGATCCCCTGCCTTGACCATTCAAAGTTCTAGGATTACAGGCATGAGCTACCATGCCTAGCCTATTTTAAATTTTTATAGACACATAATAGTAGTACACATTTATGGAATACATGAGGTATTTTGATATAAGCGTGTGTATGGGTAATTAGGCTAACCATCACCTCAAGCATTTATTTATCATTTCTTTGTGTTGGGAATATTCCAAATCTGCCTTTCTAGTTATTGTGAAATATGCAATAAATTATTGTTGACCGTAGTCACCCTAGTGCCACCAAACACTATACCTTTTTTTTTTTTGGGGGGGGGGGACGGTCTGGAGTACAGTGGCACAATCTCAGCTCACTGGAACCTCCACTTCCTGTCTCAAGCAACGCTTCAGCCTCAGAACCCAAGTAGCTGGGAATACAGACATGAGCCACCATGCCCAGCACATTTTCATATTTTTTTGTGGAGACAGGGTTTCATCATGTTGCCCAGGCTGGTCTCGATCTGAGCTCAAAGTGATCTGCCTACCTCAGCTCCCAAAATGCTTTGATTACAGGCATGAACCACCTCTCCTGACCTAGATCTTATTTCCTTCTGTATAGTTCTGTTTTTATACCTGTTAACCAACCTGTCTATCTCGCATCCCCTCTACCTTTCCCAGCCTCTGCTAACAACCATTTTCTTTACTGCCTCCATGAGATCAACTTTTTCAGCTCCCACATAAGAGTGAGAACATGCAACATGTATCTTTCTGTGCCTGGCTTATTTCACTTAAGGTAATGTCCTCCAGTTCCATCCATTTTGTTACAAATGACAGGATTTCTTTCTTTTTATTGGCAGAATAATATTCAATTGTATATATACACCACTTTTTCTTATCCCTTCATTCACTGATGGACACTTAGTCTGATTCCATATCTTGGGGTTTATATACTGTAATAAAAGTGATTGATTGATTTGCTGATTTCCTTTCTTTTGGATATGTACCCAACAGTAGGATTGCTGGATCATATGGTAGTTCTATTTTTGTTTTTTCACGAGTGCAGGTGACTTGATACTTTGAAGGGTAGTTCAATTTTTAAAGGCGTTTTGTTTGTTTTGTTTTGTTTTTTAAATAGAGACGGAGTCTTGCTATGTTGCCCAGATTGGTCTCAAACTCCTAGCCTCAAGCAATCCTCCTTCCCTGGCCTCCCAGTGTGCTGCATTACAGGCATTAGCCACCTCACTTAGCCTATTTTCAGTTTTTTGAGGAACCTCCATACTGTTTTCCATAATGGCTGTACTAAATTCAGATTTTTGTTTGCCTCCAATTTAAAAACTATTCACCTTAATGATATTAAAGAATATAGGGCCGGGCACAGTGGCTCACACCTCTAATCCCAGCACTTTGGGAGGCCAAGCCTAGTGGATCACCTGAGGTCAGGAGTTTGAGGCCAGTCTGGCCAGCATGGTGAAACCCCATCTCTTCTAAAAACACAAAAAATTAGCCAGGCATGGGGGTGAGCACCTGTAACCCCAGCTACTTGGGAGCCCGAGGTAGGAGAATCGCTTGAGCCTAGGAGGCAGAGGCTGCAGTGAGCCGAGATCATACCATTGCATTGCAGCCTGGATGACAGAGGAAGACTCCATCTCAAAAAATAAAAAATACAGAGTGGCACATGGGCTAAGGTGAAAAGTTAAAAGTGGTACTTTTCCGCTGGGCGCGGTGGCTCACGCCAATAATCCCAGCACTTCGGGAGATTGAGGCGAGTGGATCACGAGGTCAAGAGATCGAAACCATCCTGGTCAACAAGGTGAAACCCCGTCTCTACTAAAAATACAAAAAATTAGCTGGGCATGGTGGCACGTGCCTGTAGTCCCAGCTACCCGGGAGGCTGAGGCAGGAGAATTGCTTGAACCCAGGAGGCGGAGGTTTTGGTGAGCCGAGATCTCACCATTGCACTCCAGCCTGGGTAACAAGAGCAAAACTCCATCTAAAAAAAAAAAAAAAAAGTGGTATTTTTCTTTTGGTCTAATGATGGTTTTCCTTTCTCTGCCATAGGGCAGAGAAAATTAAACATGTTCATGTCCACACGTCTTTGCAAATAATTGAGTCCTGGTTAATTAAAGTAGAAAGGCAGCTTTAAAAACAGACAGAATATGAGGTGTTAGTATGAAAGCTTTCATGTTTTAATTCAGAGGGCTGTCCCATGCTTAGATTCTCTCTACTGTAGCAACTCTTAACCAAGGAGGAAAAATGTAGAGGACTGATAAAAAAGAGAGGATACCTTTTAACCATCTGAGTCTATCTGGCTAAAAAGATTTTTAGGTGTCTTTAGCTTTACCCCCACCTCAGTGTTTGGCTGGATCGTTTGAGGCCAGGTGAGAACAGAAGTTAAGTATTGTATTTGTTCAGACTCTTGCCTAGCTCCAGGTAAGTTTGAACCTTTGGTTTCAAGCCTCAAGTTCTACATTTTTTTCTTCCCCATGTGCAAAGGTGCTCTGGCCAACAAAGTGAAGAGGAAAGACACACTGGCAATGAAGTTGAACCACAGACCCAGTGAACCAGAGTTGAACCTGAATTCTTGGCCTTGTAAAAGCAAGGAAGAGTGGAATGAAATACGGCACCAGATTGGAAACACACTGATCCGGTAGGCCTTTGCTTAGATTGGCTTGATTGATTTGGTGTGCCAGTATTTGTGTTAGATATTGTTAAATGTGGGTGTTTTTTTTTGAGACAGTCTTATCCTGTCACTCAGGCTGGAGTACAGTGGCACAATCTTGGCTCACTGCAACCTCCGCCTCCCAGGTTCAAGCAATTCTTGTGCCTCAGTCTTCTGAGTAGCTGGGTTTACAGGGGCCTGTGACCATGCCAGGCTAATTTTTGTATTTTTAGCAGAGACAGGGTTTCTCCATGTTGGTTAGGCTGGTTTCAAACTGCTGACCTCAAGTGATCACCAACCTTGGCCTCCCAAAGTGCTGGGATTACAGGTATGAGCCACCACACCCAGCCTAGATGTTTACTTTGTGGTGGAGCATTCATTTATCTTTTTTAGTATAATTTTTTTTTTTTTCAGAGAGGGTCTTGCTCTGTCATCCAGGCTGGAGTACAGTGGTTAAATCATGGCTCACTGCCTCCAGCTCTTGGGTTCAAGGCACTCTCCTGCCTCAGCTTCTTGAGTAACTAGGTCCTTAGGCATATGCCATCATGCCCTGCTAATTTTTGTAATTTTTTGTAGAAACAGGGTCTCCCTATGTTTCCCAGGCCAGTCTCAAACTTATGGCCTCAAACATTCCTCCCACGTTGGCCTCTGAAAGTGCTGAGATTACAGGTGTGAGCCACCACACCCGTCACTTTGCATATAATTTTTAAAATTTATTTATTTTAAGACAGAGTCTTGCTCTGTCGCCCAGGCTAGAGTGCAGTGGCACGATCCTGGCTCACTGCAACCTCCGCCTCCCAGGTTCAAGTGATTCTCCTGCTTCAGCCTCCTGAGTAGCTGGGATTACAGCTGCATGCCACCACACCTGACTTTTTTTTGTATTTTTTTTTAGTAGAGACGGGGTTTCACCATGTTGGCCAGGCTGGTCTTGAACTCCTGACCTTGTGATCTGCCCACCTCAGCCTCCCAAAAGTGCTGGGATTATAGGCATGAGCCACTGCGACTGGCCACTTTGAGTATAATTTTTAAAAATACATATTGGGTTTTGTATGAAAAGAAAGAAGGTTAGCACTCCTCTTGACCAGGATGGAAGAGGCCCTTTGTGCCTGACAACACACAAAAAAGGAAAGAACCAAAAAAAATATGTATTGAACACAGTTGGGTATCCTCTAAGAATTTGGAAATTTAGGATGTTAGCTGCCTGTGAGAGCTGTATTTTATTTTTATTTTATTTATTTTTTTATTTTTGAGACAGAGTTTCGCTCTTTGGCTGGAGTGTGATGGCACGATCTTGGCTCACCACAACCTCCACCTCCCAGGTTCAAGCAATTCTCTTGCCTCAGCCTCCCGAGTAGCTGGAATTACAGGCGTGCACCACCACGCCCAGCTATTTTTGTATTTTTATTAGAGACGGAGTTTCTCCATGTTGGTCAGGCTGGTCGAGAACTCCTGACCTCAAGTGATCCACCCGCCTCAGCCTCCCAAAGTGCTCGGATTACAGGCATGAGCCACCACACCCAGCCATGAGATAGACATATGGTTTTGCAAAAGTTTCTACAGAAATCAGAATGGTTCCCAGAGCAGAAAGGCTCCTCTGTCACTTTTTTAATCTGGTTGCTTAACCATAAGATGCCAACCCAATTAACAGAACAGTCACCCATATTTGCATTATATCTGTTTCATATGTTCCATGAAATTGCCTCCTTTTTTTTTTTTTTTTTTTTTTGAGACGGAGTCTCGCTCTGGAGTGCAGTGGCAAGATCTTAGCTCACTGCAACCTCCGCCTCCCGGGTTAAAGTGATTCCTCTGCTTCAGCCTCCCAAGTAGCTGGGACTACATGCGCCACCATGCCCGGCTAATTTTTTTGTATTTTAGTAGGGACAGGGTTTCACCATGTTGGCCAGGATAAGTAAAATAAACCAGTCACAGAACAATAAATACTGCATGATTCCACTTCTGTGAGGTATCTGAAATTGTCACATTCATAGAATCAGAGAGTGGAATGGTAGTTGTCAGGGGCTGGGGGATTGGAGGCTGGGGTGATAGGGAGTTGCTAATAAATACATAGAAAGTTTTAGTTATGCATAATGAGTAAGTTCTAGAGATCTGCTGTACAACATCGTGTTTATAGTTAATACTGTAGACCCAGTGCAGCGGTTCACACTTGTAATCCCAGCACTTTGGGAGGCCGAGGCAGATGGATCACAAGATCAGGAGTTCGAGACCAGCCTGACCGACATGGTGAAACCCCATCTCTACTAAGAATACAAAAATTAGCCAGGGTTGGTGGAGGGCACCTGTAATCCCAGCTAGTAAGGAGGCTGAGGCAGGAGAATTGCTTCCAGCCTGGGCAACGGAACGAGACGTGTGTGTGTGTGTGTGTGTGTGTGTGTGTGTGTGTAAGTAAATAGCTAATACTGTATTGTACACTAAAAAATTTGTTCAGAGGTAGATCTCCATAGCAAGTGCTGTTGTCACTATAAAATAAGATTGAAATTTAAAAACAGACACTCATAAGTCCACTAGGATGGCTAAAGTTATGCAATTTAAAAGACCGACGGCCAGGAGCAGTGGCTCACACCTGTAATCCCAGCACTTTGGGAGGCTGACGTGGACGGATCACGAGGTCAAGAAATCGAGACTATCCTGGCCAACATAGTGAAACCCCGTCTCTACTAAAATAAAAAAATTAGCTGGGCATGGTGGAGCGTGCCTGTAGTCCCACCTACTCAGGTGGCTGAGGCAGGAGAATTGCTTAAACCCAGGAGGCGGAGGTTGCAGTGAGCCGAGATGGCGCCAGTACACTCAGCCTGGGTGACAGAGTGAGACTCTGTCTCAAAAAAAAAAAAGGAAGGAAGGTCTAGCTGGGTGTGGTGGCTCACAACCTCTAATCCCAGCCCTTTGTGAGGCTGAGCTGAGTAGATAGATCACCTGAGCCCAGGAATTTGAGACCAGCCTGGGCAATATGGCAAAACCCCATCTCTACCAAAAGTACAAAAATTAACCAGACCAGTCTCAAAATAAATTTAAAAAAATTTTTAAATAAAATGGAAGGTTCTTGAGGTAGGAGGATCATTTGAGCCCAGGAGGTAGAGCTGCAGTGAGCTGTGATTGTATCACTGCATTCTAGTCTGGGTGACAGAGTGAGACCCTGACAAAAAAAAAGGAAGGTCTTGTTCAGAAAGAAGAAAAGTTGTATATAGAATGGGACTGGAAGTTCTTTGTGCAAGCAACAAGAGTTGAAAAATTAGCAAGTACTAGCTAATTAGTAAATACTGTCTTAGAAGTATAAATTAAAAGTAAGAAATGAATAAATTTCTGATTCCAGAAATGACAAATTGTGGTTTTTTGTTGTTATTTTTTGAGACAGAGTCTCACTCTGTTCCCCAGGCTGGAGTGTAGTAGCACAAGCTTCAGCTCACTGCAATCTTCATCTCTCAGGTTTAAGCATTCTCCTGCCTCAGCTTCCCAAGTAGCTGAGACTATAGTAGCAAGCCACCGCACCTGACTAATTATTATATTTTTTAATAGAGATGGGGTTTCACCATGTTGGCCAGGCTGGTTTCGAATTCCTGACCACAGGTGATCCACTGGCCTCGGCCTCCCAAAGTGCTGGGATTATAGGCGTGAGCCACTGCACCTGGCAGACAAATTGTTATTGGCGAATTAACATCTCAGAATTGTGATCAGGTGAGATAACTTTATCAAATACTTCACAGAGAAGACTGAAACTTAAACCACAGAATTATAGAATATCACCAGAAAGAGACAAACTTAAATTCCAGTGGTTCCTAAATCACTGATTTAAAAACCTAGCTGAGCACAATGGCGTGTGCCTATAATCCCAGCAGTTTGGGAGGCCAAGGCGAGAAGATAGCTTGAGCCCGGGAGTTCAAGACTGTCCTGGACAACATAGTGATACCCCATCTGTATTTTTTTTAATGTTTAAACAAAAAAAAATCTAAAGAGGGACTTCTGAGTCATAGGAGAAGTTTTGTTTAAAAAAAAATACATATAGATAGATAGATTTTTCATCCTGATTTTCTGAATCCGAATTTCTGTTAATGTTCCTTGGGAATCTGTGTTTTCTAAAAAGTCTCTAATGCTTCTGAAGGAGCAAATTTGTTTGGGAGCCACCAGTTAGTTCGGTACAAACTTTCACTTCCCAGATGAGGACACTCGAGGTCTAACTGAGCTTTTTTGTGCTAATAGCTCTTATCAAGGTCTAGAACTAGAATCCTGGCCACTTGTTTGCATATACAGTTCCTTTTTATAATGTTATATCTGTGTTAACACTTTTAATGTGAAATTTGTTTATAAACAATTATAAATGAAATGTATCATTTTGTTGATTTCTTACTTGAATAGGGGCTAATATATACTATGGCCACTTTATAAACAAGATTGGGAGGTTTAACATAAACATTATCCTTATTTCTCTCATTTTTAGGCGACTGAGTCAAAGACCAACACCAGAAGAACTAGAACAACGCAATATATTGCAACGTGAGTCCAGTTATGGAAATAAAGTTATATAGATTTTTGTTGTATGTTTCTGACTTTAATATACATAAAAGAGAAAAGAAGCATTTGCTACAAGGGCTATCGGAGAGTGTTCCGGCCAGACAAGGACTATTTATTTTCCCATGAAGGAACAGAGCTCCCCAAGCTTTATGGTATTGTTTAGTGTGCTGTGATACCCTAGAAAACTTTGTTTCAGTGTTCTCCCATATTCTGAAACTGCCTTGGGCATTTGGGAGGATTTGACAGTATGTGGGAGATGTGCCCAGTTTTTCTGTGTTCAGGGAGCTACGGAGGTAGCTGTGCATGTGGAGACCTTCCTGTTCCCAGCATCTGAGGGCTGAGGCCCAAAGCAAATCCCAAATGCAACAGTCTTCCTCTTACTTTAATCCTGTAAGACTTTCTTACCTCTGGCAGGGCGTGGTGGCTCACGCCTATAATCCCAGCACTTTGGGAGGCCAAGGTGGATGGATCACAAGATCAAGAGATCGAGACCATCGTGGCTAACATGGTGAAACCCCATCTCTACTAAAAATACAAAAATTAGCTGGGCATGGTGGCATGCACCTGTAGTCCTAGCTACTTGGGAGGCTGAGGCAGGAGAATTGCTTGAACCCAGGAGGCAGAGGTTGTAGTGAGCCAAGATCACGTCCCTGCACTCCAGCCTGGTGACAGAGTAAGACTATGTCTCAATAATAATAAATAAAAATGTAAAGACTATTCTTAGCTCATGGGCAGTAAAAATACAGGCAACTGGTGAGATGCGATGCCATGGTTTGCTGACTCTTGCTCTTAAGTATTTGTATCATTGACAAGAAAATTATCTTGTTTAGCCATCCCCAAAGTTAGTATTTTATTCTGATTTGGGCCTATAAAAAATATCTGTAATGTAATTACTAAAACGTTTGATATGCAAATTGTCATTTGTGAGTAATATTCTTTCCTTCTGATTGTTAACTGTAGCTAAAAATGAAGCTGATCGTCAGGCAGAAAAACGAGAGATTAAACGTCGGCTCACTAGAAAGGTAATACTGCCTATGTGTTCAGTTAACTGTATGTGTTATATTTGGATGACCTATTTGATTGGAAAGAAATGAATTCGCAGCTGGGCACAGTGGCTCACTCCTGTAATCCCAGCACTTTGGGAGTCCATGGCAGGAGGATTGCTTGAGCCTAAGAGTTCAAGACCAGCCTGGGGAAAACAGTGAGACTTTGTCCCTGCATCTGAAAAAAAAGAAAGAAAGAAAATGAATTTGCTGCCTGGGCAACATGGCAAGACCCAATCTCTACAAAAATAAAAATAAATATTAGCCGGGCATGGTGGTGTGCAGCTATACTATCAGCTCTTAGGAGGCGGAGGTAGGAGGATCGCTTGAGCTCAGAAGGTTGAGGCTACAATGAGTTGTGATGGTGCCACTGCACTCCAGCCTAGGCAACAAGGCAAGACCCTGTCTCAAAAAAAAAACCACCTGATAACCAAAATCTCCGGGTATCAGTAGTGTTTAAAGCTCCTCCCCCAGGTGATTCCAGTGAAGGTTGAAGCACTGGGTTAGAGGCAATTTGAATGCATGATTGATGCCTAATTCTTGGCTTAATGAACTAAGAGGCTCCATTTCCTTCAGCTCAGTCAAAGGCCAACTGTGGCTGAACTCCTTGCCAGGAAGATTCTGAGGTTTAATGAATATGTAGAGGTAACAGATGCTCAAGATTATGACCGGCGAGCCGACAAACCTTGGACCAAACTGACCCCTGCTGATAAGGTATCTGAAAAGCACTCTCTTGCTCTTTTTCTCATTTTCTCTTTATTTGGAGGATGCAAGATACTAAGTAGAAGGGAGAACCATAAACAAAGCTTCTAGTTTTAATATAATACTAAATTTCAAATCAAGATACAAAATGCCAAGTTGTACAAGTCAAAATGTTATACTAACTCAGTATAATGTTTGGGTAACTCCACACCAATAACCGAAAGAAAGAAAATCCCTGCTATATCACAGAATAAAAATACTGGAAGAAATAAATACATTTTAACCAGTGGTTGTTTGGTTAGAGGGAGTTGGGCTACATATTTTAGTAATTACCCATATTTCATTTTTATAATGCTGTGAAAAACTATAAAAGCTGGCCAGGCATGGTGGCTTATGCCTGTAATCCCAGCACTTTGGGAGGCCAAGCCAGAGGGATCACTTGAGGTAAGGAGTTCAAGACCAGCCGGGCCAACATGGTGAAACCCTGTCTCTACTAAAAATACAAAAATTAGCTGGGCGTGATGGCATGCACCTGTAATTCCAGCTACTCAGGAGGCTAAAGCGGGAAAATTGCTTGAACACAAGAGGTGGAGGTTGCAGTGAGCCCAGATCATGCCATTGCATTCTAGCCTGGGCAGCAAAGCAAGACTCCGTCTCAAAAAAAATAAAAAATTAGGGGTGGGCACAGTGGCTCATGCCTGTAATCCCAGCACTTTGCAAGGCCAAGGTGGGTGGATCATGAGATCAGGAGTTCAAGACTAGCCTGGCCAAGATGGTGAAATACTAAAAATACAAAAATACAAAAAAATATTAAAAATACAAAAAAATGGCTGGGCACAGTGGCTCAAGCCTGTAATCCCAGCACTTTGGGAGGCCGAGGTGGGTGGATCACGAGGTCAAGAGATCGAGACCATCCTGGTCAACATGGTGAAACCCCGTCTCTACTAAAAATACAAAAAATTAGCTGGGCATGGTGGCACGTGCCTGTAATCCCAGCTACTCAGGAGGCTGAGGCAGGAGAACTGCCTGAACCCAGGAGACGGAGGCTGCGGTGAGCCGAGATCGCGCCATTGCCCTCCAGCCTGGGTAACAAGAGCGAAACTCCATCTCAAAAAAAAAAAAAATTAGCTGGGTGTGGTGGCAGGTGCCTGTAATCCCAGCTACTCAGGAGGCTGAGGCAGAGGTTGCAGTGAGCGGAGATCACATGACAGCACTCCAGCCTGTGCAACACAGTGAGTCTCCATCTCAAAAAAAAAAAAAACTGGCCAGGTACAGTGGCTCACACCTGTAATCCCTGCACTTTGGGAGGCCAAAGTGGTGGGTGGATCTCTTGGGGTCAAGAGTTCAAGACCAGCTTGACCAACATGGTGAAACCCCGTCTCTACTAAAAATACAAAAATTAGCCGAGCATGGTGGCATGCACCTGTAATCCCAGCTACTCAGGAGGCTAAGGTAAGAGAATTGTTTGAACCCAGGAGGCGGAGGTTGCAATGAGCTGAGATTGTATGACCACACTTCAGCCTGGGTGACAGAGCAAGACTCTGTCTTTAAAAAAAAAAATAAATAAAAAAACTATGAAAACTACAATATCTCTTTCAGATTTTCAAGTATTTTGATTCAAACCTAAAATTTTAGGTTTATTATGAGACAAATGGTATCATAGTGTTGACCTGGTGTCTAGGTTGCTGGTGAAGGGTTGGAGTGACTTAGAAAGTTAAACACAGTAGAGAAAAATGGCAATTTACACTGCTGTACAACGCAGGCAGAAGAAACTGAAACATTTTTGTTTCTACTCCACAGGCTGCCATAAGAAAAGAATTAAATGAATTTAAAAGCTCTGAGATGGAGGTTCATGAAGAAAGCAAACATTTTACACGGTAAGACCCAAAAGACCCGATCATCTATGTGCTAAGTAGAGTTTTCCAAAAAAACATTGTTCAGATATGAAGGATTCTAACGACGTCAGTAAAAGGGAAAACAGTGTTGATTGTAAGACTATATTTAAAGGGATGAAATAAGAAGCAATAGTAAATGCCTAGGATGGGTGTGGTGGCTCATGCCTATAATCCCAGGACTTTGGGAGCCCGAGGCAGGTGAATCACAAGGTGAGGAGTTCAAGACCAGCCTGACCAACATGGTAAAACCCCGTCTCTACCAAAAATACAAAAATTAGCTGGGCATGGTGGCACACACCTGTAATCCCAGTTACTTGGGAGGCTGAGGCAGGAGAATCACTTGAACCCAGGGGGCGGAGGTTGCAGTGAGCCGACATGGTACCACTGCACTCCAACCTGGGTGACAGAGTGAGACTTCGTCTCAAAAACAAAACAAAACAAAAATACAAAAATTAGCATGGCATGGTGGCAGGTGCCTGTAATCCCAGCTACTCGGGAGGCTGAGGCAGAATTGCTTGAACCAGGGAGGGGGAGGTTGCAGTGAGCCGAGATGTTACCATTGCACTCCAGCCTGGGTAACAAGAGCGAAATTCCATCCCAAAAAATAAAAATAGTAAATGCTGGCTGGGTGCAGTGGCTCACGCCTGTAATCCCAGCACTTTGGGAGGCCGAGGCGGGTGGATCACGAGGTGGGGAGATGGAGACCATCCTGGCCAGCATGGTGAAATGCCGTCTCTACTACAAAATACAAAAATTAGCTGGGCGTGGTGGCACATGCCTGTAGTCCCAGCTACTTGGGAGGCTGAGGCAGGAGAATTGCTTGAACCCAGGAGGCAGAGGTTGCAATGAGTTGAGATCACGCCATTCCACTCCAACCTGGCGCCTGGCAACAGAGCAAGACTCTGTCTCCAAAAAAAAAAAAAAAAAAAAAATAGTAGGCCGGGCGCGGTGGCTCACGCCTGTAATCCCAGCACTTTGGGAGGCCAAGGCGGGTGGATCACGAGATCAAGAGATCGAGACCATCCTGGTCAACATGGTGAAACCCCGTCTCTACTAAAAATACAAAAAATTAGCTGGGCATGGTGGCGCGTGCCTGTAGTCCTGGCCACTCGGGAGGCTGAGGCAGGAGAATTGCCTGAACCCAGGAGGCGGAGGTTGCGGTGAGCCGATATCGCGCCATTGCACTCCAGCCTGGGTAACAAGAGCGAAACTCAGGCTCGAAAAAAAAAAAAAAATAGTAAATGCCTATGCTGATTGTGGCATTTTATGTATATTATCTTATTTAATTCTTGCAATAAACATGTAAGATGTGATAACATCTCCATTTTATCAGTGAGGAAGCGGAGACTCACAATGGCTAAGTAACTTGCTTGACTTGCTAGTAAATTGCAGAACCAGGATGTAGAGAAAGAAATCAATGACTTCAAGGATATGGGGTGCTCTCTTCCTTGTACCTTACTCTCTCAGGTTATAAATGAGGAGACTGCACTAAGGTAGACAAGATCTTGCCCTCTCTGGTTTCAGTTCTGTCTAGCACAGTTGATCTTACCAACTTAGTGTATAAACAACATTTTAATGAGCTGTCCTCATGAAACAAGCCAAGAAATCCAACCAAGTATTTTTTTGATTTGGAGTTACTGTTGTGATTAAGGACCCACCCATATCCAAAGAATCAGCTAGCCACAAATGGAATCAGTGAAGTATCTTTACATGATTCTTAGAATATTTATTTTAAAAGACACCAAATAAGGCTGAGTGCAGTGGTTCATGCCTGTAATCCCGATACGTTGAGTGGCAGAGGTGGGAAGATTGCTTGAGCACAGGAGTTTGAGACCAGCCTGAGCAACATAAAAGACTCCATCTCTGCAAAAAAAAAAATATAGATATACGTTTTTTTCATAAATATATACATTAAAATATATATATATATACACACATTTTTTTTTTTTAATTAGGCAGGGGCCCGGTGCAGTAGTGCATACCTATAATCTTAGCACTTTGGGAGGCGGAGGTGGGAGGATTACTTGATCCCAGGAGTTTGAGACCAGCCTGGGAAACACAGTGAGCCCCATCTCTTTTTTTTTTTTTTTTTTTAATTCACCTGGGTACAGGTGGGCCAAGGCCAAAAAGGGCGTTAGCCAAGCCCCATCTCTACAAAAAATAAATTTTAAAAAAGTTAGCCAGGTGCAGTGGCACACTCCTGTAGTACAACTTCCCGGGAGGCTGAGGTGAAAATTTACTTGAGCCTGGGGGCAGCAGTGAGCTATGGTCATATCACTACACTGAAGCCTGGGCAACAAAGATGCCATTGCTAAAAAGAACAGTTTTTGCTAAACGAAAGAGTCATAGAGAATGTGACATTTATGTTAGATCTTAAGGTATATAAAAAAATTAATCTGAACAAAAAGGAAGGAAAGAACCTTGTAAGCAGAAGGACCAGTATAGACCAGGCACAGTGGCTCACACCTGTAATCCCCACACTTTGGGAGGCTGAGGTGGGTGGATCACTTAAGGCCAGTTGGAGACCAGCCTGGCCAACATGGTGAAACCCTGTCTCTACTAAAAATACAAAAATTTGCTGGGCATGGTGGCATGCCTGTAGCCCCAGCTACTTGAGAGGCTGAGGCAGGAGAATCGCTTGAACCCGGGAAGCAGAGCTTGCAGTGAGCCGAGATTGTGCAACTACACTCCAGCCTAGGTGACAGAGCAAGATTGTGTCTCAAAAAAAAAAAAAAAAAAGAAGGACCAGCTTAAGCAAGACAATGGGAAAGAGGAAAACACATGATGTAACTGGAGCAGAGGATGTATGGGGCAGTACAGTAAAAATAAGCTAGAAAATGGGTTGCAGTGCCTCTTTGAAATGCTTTGACTGTTATGCTAGGATGTTGGAACCATTGGCAGTTTAGAAACAGGAAATTCTGTGTATTTCAGAACAACCTCTGATGCAAAGAAGGAAGATTATATGGAAGGATGAAGAGACTATAGCAGCAAGGAAGACAGGAAGTGACTGAAATAAACATCGTGAGCATAGTGGCAGCTCAGACCAGGGAAGCCACAGTGAGAATGCAAAGGAGATAGATTTGAAAGACATTTCAACCATAGAATCAACAAGATGTAGCAATCTGTTGGATTCCAGAAATGAAATAAAGGAGTAGTCAAAATGACTCTGATATTTCTAACTTGTATTTTTTGAGGTCTGTGAAGGTGATAAGGAGTTTAGTTGAACACTTATTCAACAAATATTGAGCACCTACCACATGACAGGTATAGTGCTAGGTCCTTGAGATACAGCAGGAAATGAAATATCAAGTCTCTGTCCTCAATGAGGCTTTATTCTTTTTTTTTCTTTTTTTTTTTTTTTTAATAGAGATAGGGTCTTGCTATGTTTCCCAGGCTGGTCTTGAATTCCTGGCCTCAAGTGATCCTCCCATCTTGGCCTCCCAAAGTGTTGAGATTACACGTGTGAGGCACTATGCCGGCCCAAGCTTTTATTCTAAAAGAAGAAAGCAAACAACAAACAAGCTAGAAAATAAATTGCATGTGTTGAGTTTGATGAATCTATGACACATGGAGATGCCTAGAAGACCTTTAGATATTCAGCCTGGAATCCAGAAAGAAAGCAAAGTCTAAAGATACGAATGAGAGAAGATAGTGGACCTTTAGAAGGGAATTTTTTTTTCTTGGAGACAAGGTCTCACTGTGTCACCCAGGCTGGAATGCAGTGGTGTGATCATGGCTCACTGCAGCGTCAACCTCTCAGGTTCAAAACATTCTCCCACCTCAGCCTCCTCAGGAACTGGAACTACAGGCATAGGCCACCACACCTGGCTAATTTTTGATCATTTGTAGAGACAGAGTCTCCCTATGTTGCCCAGGCTGCTCTCAAACTTCTGGGCTCAAATGATCCTCTCACCTTGGCCTCCCAAAGTGCTGGGATTACAGACATGAGCCATCATGCCCAGCCAAGGAAGTTGGGATTTTTTTTTTTTTTTTTTGACAGTCTCACTCTATTGCCAGGTTGGAGTGCAATGCTGTGATCTCGGCTCACTGTAACCTCCGCCTCCTGGGTTCAAGGGATTCTCCTGCCTCAGCCTCCCAAGTAGCTGGGACTACAGGCGTGTGTCACCATGCCCAGCTAATTTTTGTATTTTTAGTAGAGATGGGGTTTCACCATGTTGGCCAGGATGTTCTCGATCTCTTGACTTCGTGATCTGCCCACCTTGGCCTCCCAAAGTGCTGGGATTACAGGTGTGAGCCACGGCGCCTGGCCAGGAAGTTGTTTTCTATTTAAAGGGTGGCCAGAGGAAAATGAACCAGGACAGCATACAGAAGATCAATTGAAGAAGAAAGAAAACTATGGCAAAAATATTGTTACAGAAGCCAAGAGTTTCAAGAAAGAAGGAAGCAGTTGAGGAGTATCAGATGCAACAGAAAGGTCAGCTAGAATTCGAGCAGAAGAGAGAGGCAGTATTAATTAGGATATAACATTTCATTACTACTGGTATATTAATAGCAAGCAATGTACATCATGTGGTAACTTGTCTTTTTTTTTTTTTCTTTTAGCTACCATCGTCCATGATGCCAAATGTTGAGAGGAACTCAACATGGCTGCTTTGCCGCTCCTTCTCCAGAGTGACATATGAAGGGAACTTTAGCACTTCCCAGCACAGCCAGAATTGCGTCCTCTGGGATCTTCTGGGGTGGACAGCACTTCTTTGAATGTAGCATTTCACTGGAACAGATTCTCATGGGCTGCACCTGGGGCAAAACAACACTTTCTCAGTGCTTTTGAACCTTTCAATATTGTAGCATACTTGAGGGGTTTTTTTCCTTACTGGCCGCCAAAGTTCTGGACCGCTTGCAGGTTCCAGGTTTTACTGGCTGTACCACACCCCTTCCCCTAGATGACTTCTGTACCACACCCCTTCCCCTAGGTGACTTCTTATGCTGAGGCACAGTTTGTACCATTAGCCTTACCTGCCCTACCCTGATGGTGAGACCCAAATGTGTAGGCTGTAAATTCCAGCTATCAAATCCAATTCCTGGTGGGGAAAACATTCTGGAGGCCCCCAACCTTCTGGTAAAAGAGTCTCTACCTCCAGGGACTTCTTACCACACTGGCATATCAGATGAAAGCACTGCACTGTACCTCTCATAACACGGCAATACAGTCCTCTTGAGGCACTCAAGCCTGAGAGGAAGCTCAGGATCTGACATGTTCTTCCTTTTCCTCGCAAGTCATTGTGATTTTTATTTTAAAATAATCTGGAAGTAATGGGAACTTATGTTTTCCTGAACTGCAACAAGAATCCAAATTGGTTAGATGAGGCTGGGCATGGTGGCTCATGCCTGTAATCCCAGCACTTTGGGAGGCCAGGTTGGGCAGATCACCTGAGGTCAGGAGTTCAAGACCAGCCTGGCCGACATGGTGAAACCCCATCTCTACTAAAAATACAAAAATTAGCCAGGCGTGGTAGCACCTGCCTGAGGCGTGAAAATCGCTTGAACCCAGGATGTGGAAGGTGCAGTGAGCCAAGATCATGCCACTGCACTCCAGCCTGGACAACAAAGTGAGACTCTGACTTAAAAAAAAATAAAAATTGGTTAGATGAGAAAGCATGTATATTTTTTATATACAAAAATAAAAAAGGCCTTTGAGCTCCTGTGCTCAGGCCCACTCTCACACTGTGGAGTGTACTTTCATTTTCAAAAAATCCCTTTATTGCTTCATTTCCCCATGAAGGCTAAAAAAATAAAAACCTCAGGTGCGGTGGTGCTCACACCTATACTCTCAGCACTTTGGGAGGCTGAGGAGGGTGGATCACCTGAGGTCTGGAGTTCAAGACCAGCCTAGCCAACATGGGGAAATGCTGTCTCTACTAAAAAATACAAAAATTTGCCGGGCATGGTGGCTTGTGCCTGTAGTCCCAGCTACTGGGGCTGCTGAGGCAGGAGAATTGCTTGAACCTGAGAAGTGGAGGTTGCAGTGAGCCGATCATGCCACTGCACTCCAGTCTGGGTGACAGAGCAAGACTCTGTCTCAGAAAAAAAAAAGCCTTAATGCCAATGTGGCAAAAAACTGTGGCTAACATTTGTAGGTTATTGTAGTTTTATTTACCAAATGTTATTCTCTAAATTGCTTTGACCAATAAATGTATTCTCCTCCTTAAAGCAGAGTTGTATCAACTCTGTGAGAGCATTTATGAGCTGTTGGTCCCCACGTTTCCAGCCAGAATCACAGTAAGGTCCGGCTGGGTATGGGGTGCTGCATAGGAAAGGGTGTCTGGAGAAGCCAGGAGGGCATGATCGTGGCCCACTGCGCCCCTCTTCTCCATGCTCTTTGCCTTCTCCTGCTGCGTGCTTCCTCTTCACTCCAGAGCCGATCCTCCTGCTGACTCTCTCTGGCAGCTTCCATCTCACCCGCCCCTCCTCTTCCACACTGTAGCAGTATCATTGGTGCTGGGGCATTGACTCAGGCCCCCTGCTTTCTGTATTTGTAATAGAGATTAATACGATTTCCTAAAACAGAAGATTTTGTTGCTTTCTTTGAATTTGTTTTGAAACATACAGTCTATTTCACTTTAATTCCTATCCACACTATAAATGGAAGAAAAAAATATTAATAGTTTCTGTTTAATCTGATGAATATGGCTTTTTTTCCTTCACTTTAATGTTCAAGAAGTTGTGGCCACTTCATAGATTTCTTCTGATTTATTCCGTGGGTCCCTGTTATTTGTTCTGTATGTAATCTTTCAGTAGATTTTCATCCCTTCATACCCACATAAGAAGACTTGCTGAAGAATCAGAGTATCAGTTCAAAACAAAACCTAGGCCAGGCACGGTGGCTCATGCCTGTAATCACAGCACTTTGGGAGGCTGAGGCAGGCGGATCACCTGAGGTCAGGAGTTCGAGACCAGCCTGACCAACATGATGAAACCCCGTCTCTACTAAAAATACAAAAATTAGCAGGGCATGGTGGCGCGTGCCTGTAATCCCAGCTACTCAAGAGGCTGAGACTAGAGAATCACTTGAACCGGGGAGATAAAGGTTGCAGTGAGCCAAGATTGCCCCACTGCACTCCAGCCTGGGTGACAGAGCAAGACTCCATCTCAAAAAAAACAAAAAGAAGGCTGGGCGCGGTGGCTCAAGCCTGTAATCCCAGCACTTTGGGAGGCCGAGGCGGGTGGATCACGAGGTCAAGAGATCGAGACCATCCTGGTCAACATGGTGAAACCCCGTCTCTACTAAAAATACAAAAAATTAGCTGGGCATGGTGGTGCGTGCCTGTAATCCCAGCTACTCAGGAGGCTGAGGCAGGAGAATTGCCTGAACCCAGGAGGTGGAGGTTGCGAACAGTGAGCCAAGATCGCGCCATTGCACTCCAGCCTGGGTAACAAGAGTGAAACTCCGTCTCAAAAAAAAAAAAAAAAAAAAAAAAAAAAAAAAAAAAGAAAAGAAATAATACTGGGTCCCTATCTCCTTGAAGTTTTTTGATATGTTTCGTTTTATTTTTGGAGATAGGGTCTCTGTTACCCGTGCTGGAATGCAGTGGCACAATCCTGGCTCATAGTAACCACTACCTCCTGGACTCGAGCGATCCTCCCACTTCAGTCTAAGTAGCTAAGACTACACCCAGCTAATTTTTGTATTTTTTTTTAGAGACAAGGTTTCCCCATATTTCCCAGGTTGGTCTTGAACTCCTGGGCTCAAGGGATCTGTCTTTGCCTCCCAAATTTCTGAGATTGCAAGTGTGAGCCATTGTGCTCAGCCTCCTTGAAGTTTACTAACACTTGGGATGGAAAATACGTGACAATTCCACTCAGTCTGTTAGAGGTCTGGATATAAGGTAGCCACACAATAACTGCTAACTTGATTTCTAACCATTCTATCTTACTGGTTTGGGGACCGTCTTCTGCCAGCATTTTTTGTGGCTTGAGATGACATTTTCAAACCCTTCTTTCACTACCTTTCTTACCCTTGATGTGCCAAGCGTGAAATGGGATTTGATATCCTGAGCTACTTGTTCGCCTTCTGTGTGTCACCAAATAATCTGGTTCATCTTTCATCTCATTCATGTTCTTTTCAAATGCAACAAGACATTTGGGGGGTCAAGTCTATTTGGGTGTTTCTTTTGTTTTTATGTATATAAAAATGGATTTTGTGTTCCCTTTCCATGTACCAACTTACATGGAAACTCACAATCATAATGTAAAGAAGAAATGAAAGCCTGGTGTATTGTACTTCAAGATGCCTCCCTGATGTACAGAATCTTGTAAAATAAGTAATTGCATTGTATATCAGTCTTCCCATCAATATTAATTATTAAATATTTTAGAATTTTTAAATACCAAACTATACTATTCTGGTGTGAGGTATTTTCTTTTACATTACACTCTATCCAAAAACATTAAATCCAGCTTAAAAAATGATATGTAAATTATTGCTAATGTCCCAAAATGAGAAATAGTTGAGAGAGAGAAAAGTAATAGTGAGGACATAAAATGTAGCCAGGAGTGAGGGTCATTCATGTTTGTCTCTGTCAGTGCACAAACAGAATAGGCTGCAGATTGGAGCTGACTGTGAACCCCGTATATACTAAACACTTGATCCTATTTAGCCCACCTAGCCTATTAGATAAGTGATAATATAGTCATTTCACCAATTAAGAAACAGATGAAATTGCTTCCCCAAGTTCAAAACAAATGACGTAATCTTTGAATATATTTAAGGATAAGCATTTGCATGCCAATTGATTGCCCCACAAGAATTTATATTAACCACATATGGTTGGACCCCTCAAGATGACATCACAGATGGACACTTGTTACTTCCCCTCCTGCCCCCTGAGAGGAAGTCTTGCTCTGTCACCTAGGCTGGAATGTAGTAGCCTGATCTTGGCTCACTGCAACCTCTGCCTCCTAGTTTCAAGCGATTCTCCTGCGTCAGCCTCCCAAGTAACTGGGATTACAGGCATAAGCCACCACGCCCAGCTAATTTTTGTATTCTTTGTAGAGATGGGATTTCACCATGTTGGTCAGGCTGATCTCGAACTCCTGACCTCGTGATCAGCCTCCCAAAGTGCTGGGATTACAGGTGTGAGCCACTGCACCTGGCCCAGGACACTTAGTACTTTATCTTTTCTGGTAAGCAGCCCAGTTTCAGTCCAGGTGGCCTCAGCAATGACACTTCTATTTGTCACTTTAGAGACTGGCCTTGTTTAGTGCACCACCCTTTACCAAGAGTTAAAAGAAACCATGAGTCAGAATTCCTTGTGCCATTGGATTCTACCTGCTCCCAGATTGTGCTTCTACTAGCCCTCCAAAGAAGTCTCAAATTGCTATTGCCCTTTTGGGGTTAAATTGTCTCCAGAAAGCTGTTTTGAAGATGCAGATTTCCCAGTGTTTGCCAAAACAATGAATGAATTTTGGGTCTCTGAATTTATATAACTATACCCCAGGAAAAGGCAGGTCCAGCCAGGTGCAGTGGTGCACACCTATAGTCCCAGCTACTTCGGAGGTTGATGTGGAAGGATCACTTAAGCCCAGGAGTTCAATATCAACCTGGGCAATATAGACCCTGTCTTGAAAAAAAAGGAGGGGCAGGTCCAATGGACACTGAATAGGCAGAGGATGAAATAGTACAAAAAGATGACAATGTACACCAAAGAAAATCCTAGCCCTGAAGCCAAAACACAGCACTACTGTTTCAACCTTCTATTCCATTTCAGCCCTAAGAGGCGTGAAGGGAAAACCAGGAA